CGAATTATATGCGAGAAAGATTCAAAATCTATTGGATGATAGATGTGTATTTGCAATACTTAGTGCTAAACACATTTGTCTTACGCCAGCTACAGTGAAAGTTCAGTGCATTTCAGAGGAATATTTTTATTTCTACCCGATCATATTACAAGGAAGCAGGAAATACAACACTAAATAAAGACAGTTAGTAACCTAAAATCAAAAATTGGTGGAAGTCAGTGGATTTTGGCTAATTCGCTCGAACTGACAGACAAAAGAAGACTGGTTGGATGGGGCCCCAAACATGTCAGGGAGCGAGAGTGTACACATCTGGTCAACACCTCCCACAAAATCTCAACCGATTCTTTCAAAGTGATTTACAAAGTCAACAGAAACCTACCAAAAGCAATATGTTTCCGACTTCTTTGTACTGCAGAAGCCCTCGCAATATGCATCGAGAAGCCGGAGCTGTGTGTTCGAAAGAAGTTAGTCCAACCTCTACAACTACCATGGACCTAGCTTGGTATGTTCCCTTTGTTTCCGCCTTTTTTTCTCTCTTCCTCGTCTGTTTTCGTTCTTGTTTTTTCCTTTAGAGCATTTTTCGTTCGCTGTGTGTCTGATTCTTAGTCCCTCAATCTTCGTTTAATCCACCTAATTTTTTTTTTCAGCTATGAAAACAGTTATTTTAAGTTTGTTTCCATGCTTTCCCTGTTCACATTTATAATTCGTTTGAAATAACTATTTTACAATTATATCTTAATATTGGGCAATTTTTGTGTTTCTAAGGCTTTTGTAATCTATATTCACACGTCCTAACTTTCATTTCAGGCTCAAATTATTTTTTCAGTTAAAAAAACTAGTTATTTTAATTTTGTTTCCATACTCCTCCTGATCACACTTGTAATCCGTTTAAAATAACCATTCTACAATTATATTCTAATCCTAAATAATTTTTTGTTTCTATGCCTCTTGTAATCTATATTCATACCTCCTAACCAACATGTCAAGTGGAAAAATTTTGATTTCAATTTGTTTCCATGCTCATTTTGTTCACACCTGTAGTTCGTCCTATCCCTGAGTTTCTAAACCTCTTGTAATTCATATCAAGTCGAAAATAATTATCACCTTCGATTCGCCTTTAAAATTATTTCTCCAGTTATCAAATATTAATTTTTTGCATACGTTGTAACTATTTTCTAATCCTATGAAATCTTGTCTCTAAGCCTCTTGTAATCTATATTCGTACCTTCAAACTATCATATCAAGTTGAAAATTATTATCACCTTCGTTACTATGTGAAATTAAACAAATAATAATTCTATCCATGTTAAAATAATCTATATAAATGCGATTGTACAGCTTTTGAGAATGAAATCGCCGAAAAGATATCTTTGCTGAACTTCGTGTTCTCTTCTTTCTAAAATCAAACTGACAAAAGGTCTTAGCGATGAACGTGAACAGTGTTGGGCGACTAAAGCGAAAGGGTTTAAAAAGGCGTTGGGTATAGATAAGGCTGAGCAACTACTTAGGCTTGCTAAAGAAACAGGTAGCTAAAGGCACATAACAAGCGAGACAATCTCCGGGAAAAATGAAGCCCTAACTAGCTCTTTAAATAGACGACTGGTATGTCAAATGGGCATTCTGAGTATGAGGATGATGTAGTCCTCCTGGGTCAAGACGCTAATAAAATTCAGAGTATTCTGAACACTATGAGCAGCAATTTTTGGCATACGGTGAGCTCCTGTCTAATGTAGGTAGGTATTATTCAGACGCAACGGACCCACCACTTATTGAACTCCCAGACTCCATATGGTGTCATTTCACCGTAGGCCACACCAAGCACTTACTGGGTGGCATCTACCGATCTCCCACCTGTGGGGCAGAGCACAATCAGCTACTGCTCAGCACTATCACAGGAATACGAGATTTGGGCTACGACCAAATCACCATAGCTGGAGATTTCAATGCTCCATCACTGAACCTTGGCTCCGGGTGTGCTAAGGGAAAATTTGGCCGAAACCTACTGCAAACTATTCGAAACACGGGACTGACTGAGAATGTTGGAGACGACACTAGGTGGGGCCCTAGTGGAAAGTCATCAAAACTAGATTATATTCTAACTAGTGACCAGCTACTCGTCGAAAAGGTCCAGATCATGACTCCTCTGGGAAGCAGTGACCATGCAGTCATAGGTTTCGATCTTGTCCTCCGTGAGCGTTTGCAATGGGATGTTACGCGACCATGTCTGTGCTACAGCAAGGCTGACTATGCTGAAATGCGGAGGCTCTTGTCCGACGCAGACTGGCCCTTAGCATGGGACGACCTATCTGTGGATGAACACTGGGAAGTGGTAAAAAAGATTATCCATACAGCAATCTCGGATACCGTCCCTTTAGTCACAACACAGCCTAAGAGAAAGACGTCATGGTTGAAGAGAGGCACGCAACGTATTCTGCAAGCAAAGCGGAAGGCTTGGTTTACGTGGCGTGTATCTAAGAGTCAGACCGACCATGATGCATACCTCGAACTCAGGAACCGGTGTAATGCAAGAGTCAGGAGGGACAGAAGGTCATTCCAGGCTAACCTTGCTAAAAAACTCCTATCAAACCCTAAAAACTTGTACCGATTCATGTCGGAAAGAAAACCGACAAACCAAGGGGCATGCGCCTTAGTAGGCCCAAACGGTCAATATCTCACTAGTCTGGAGATGGCTGAAACATTCAGTTCAGCCTTCGCTAAACAGCTAAACAGCAATGTGGATATTACAGTTACGGACCAAAATGGTGGCACCACTATTTCAGAGGAGGAAGACCTAGCGACTACTCCCCAAATAAACCCCGCAATAGTACTAAGGAAGCTACAGCGACTCATACCTGGGAAGTCCCCAGGTTGTGATGACATCAGGCCATCTGTTCTGAAACAGTGCGCCGAGGCTCTCTGTAGACCCCTGTGCGACTTGTTCCAACACTCAATGGATTCGGGGACCCTGCCAAGGGAGTGGAAAAGAGCCATCCTTTCTCCAATCTTCAAGGGTGGGGACAGGCAAAACGCTGCTAGCTATAGACCAGTAGCTCTACTCCCAGTGGTATCAAAAGTACTGGAAAGTATTATTGACGACCACATCAGGGAATATTTCGATAGGACTAATATACTACATGAAGCCCAACATGGTTTCAGAAAAGGCAGATCCTGCGTCACTAACCTACTGTCAGCTTGGGACGACTGGACATCATGCTGGGACTTGAACGTACCAGTCCATGTGGTCTTCCTAGACTTTGAGAAGGCATTTGACACTGTTCACCATGACCTTCTCCTACATAAAATAAGCCAGGCAGGCATAGGTGAGCCACTTCTGTCATGGTTGAAGGACTACCTAGCCGACAGGCAATTTTGCACTAAGGTTAACCGAGTCCGATCATCTTGGCACAGATCGTCATCAGGAGTGTCGCAGGGTTCTATCCTAGGACCACTGATGTTTTTGATTTTCATCAATGATCTACCACGCCGTCTGAGCTGCCCGACTCTCCTGTACGCTGACGACGTAAAAATATGGAGGGCGATAAAGTGTCCGGAGGACTCAGATAGGCTACAGGAAGACCTAAACCTTCTGGAAGACTGGGCGGTGGCCAGTGGCATGACTTTCAACTTGAAAAAGTGCAAAGTAGTGAAGTTGCGCACCTGTAGACTGCAGAATGCAAGTTACACCCTGTGCAATGAAAGCTTGTCCTGCACAACGTCGGAACGCGACTTAGGTCTAGTTCTAACGGAAAAAATGGACACAAGCGTAAATTACACAGGGGATGTAGCGAGGGCATATGCGGTCATACACTTTACGCATAGACAGTTAGGTGCACTCACTCCTGAGCTCTTTCTAATGTTGTACAAAACATACGTCAGGCCACACCTTGAGGTGCATAATATTATTGCACCCCCAATGCTGAGAAGAGATGCCAACCTCTTGGAAAGAGTCCAACGACGGGCAACAAAAGGAGTGGTTGGTCTCCGAAACAAACCATATGATGAAAGGCTGAAGAAATTAGGCCTGTTCACACTTAGTTACCGTCGGCTTAGGGGGGATTTGATTACTGCCTACAAAATAACAAATGACCAGAATCACCCAAACAAAGGTGTTCTGCCATTGAGTAGGTATAGGCTTCCACGTGGAAATCCCAGAAGGATAGCTCACCAGAGGGCAAGGACCCGGGTGCGCTCCCACTTCTTTTCACTGCGGGTTTGTCGTCCCTGGAATTCCTTACCGGCAGATGTAGCTATGGCACCGTCTTTGGACGCCTTTAAGCGAAGGCTGGACAACCATGCAGCGATACAAGGACTGCATCCAAATGGCCTATCCCCTTAAAATCGCATACACCATTCAGGAGTATACAATTAAACTCATCCTTTTACTTCTTTATGTTCTCTCTCCCGTCTTAGTCTCTTGACAACTTATTAATATTATTATTATTACCGATATATATATATATATATATATATATATATATATATATATATTTATAATTCTTCAGATTTAATCAGCTGACTGTTGTTACGCCTTCCTATCTCCGTTTCTGTCTGTTAGTCTGAACAAATTCACTAATTATATCTATCATTATCATTATTATTATTACCATCTCTTTTCTCTTGTCGACGATACCGGAGGACTTACTGGCGAAAGGATCCACTCCATTCACAGTAGTAACAGCCTTAACACACCTCATACTACAAAACACATATAGTTCATCCCAGCACTGCTCCCTTTGGAGTCAACCAAAGCTACGACGGTCAAGTGGCAGGACGAGCTACGCAGAAGTTTACCGAAGATCAGGAAACTATACCTTACAATCAAGAAGCGAGCACAAAGAAATCAAATTGGTTTATACTAGCTCGTGAAAACGATATTGGATATTGGAGTTAAGTTAGATCACATCCTTGCGGTGTTGAAAGCTATGAAAAGTAATGTAAACCTCTTCACTCTGTATTCTTTGTTCCTCAAACCGAAATTGAAGATTAAGTGTTTGTATTCTCCAGAGTCCGTAATTTAACCTTGACAACATTTCAACTGAACGCAGAAATGCGCTGTACTAAGTTGTTATCGTTATCTATGTAGACAAATGTTATGGTCTCGTTTCAGTCAATAGATCGATATGAGTTCAAAGAAGTCTTGGGAACGTATAAGTTATCTTTGAAAATTTCATTTGCATCTTGTTGTTTAGGGGTGCATTTTCGGAAGTTCGTCTTGCAGAAGATCAAAAAAATCCGGGGTCATTTGTAGCAATCAAATGTATCCGCAAGAAGTTTCTATCCAAAACACAAAATTCTGAGTGTGCTATTAAAGAAGCAGAGTCACGGAAGGAATCTCTAAACAATGAGATAGAGGTGTTGAGGAGGTTCGTTAAAACTTTCTATTTCTCTTCATGAAAGTAGACTCAGACATCCTAATATTGTCCAGTTATTCGACGTCCTGGAAGATTCAGAATGTTACTACCTTGTGATGGAATTGTAAGTATCGGTTTTGGGATAACGAATGAAGTATTTCATTATTTATGCTTTTCATATAATCAGTGGGGTTACATATTCTGCATCTATCAGGTGCTTTTTGAAGCTTAGCTTATCGACTAGACACTGCCATGGTTTAGATTTTTGATATTTCACCCATTTATTAATTACCACTACTGAAACTAACTAATATTTAAATGCCACGAGACCTAAAAAGGTCTCTAACAACGACTTTGAATACAAGATATTTTTTATGTTTACACTAACCTTTCACTACCAAAACTTAAACCACAAAAGTGTCGCAGTAATCCATCAGCTGATTAGAGACTATGGTAAGGTGGAATCTTCTCTTTTTTGCTTACTACCTGTCGGTAAGTCCTGTGTTCCTAGTTACTTGTAAGCTGGCAAAGATTTCGAAATTAAAAAAAATTAGTTAGCATTAAATTATAGGGCTTTTGACATTATGGAGCCTCATGTATGGGGACTTAGTTGACAAAATAAAGCAGTACATTACAGTATTCATTCTTAACGCAATGCATTTCTCGTCGAGCACTTCATTATATTTGTCTTACTAAAGTCTTCGGATGTCAAAATCTATTAATGGTGACCAGGGAGATCCGGTTTATGCTGTCTCGTTTTGTGTTGACATAGAAAAAACGTGAACAGAATCACTTCCACTCTACTGTTTTAGTAATTTCTCAATATCATTTGATTACTTCTTAGTTGATAACTAGGTGTAATGCCTGTCAAGATTTTTCTATCACGGGCTATATAAATAGATTTAACTTGACTTGCGAAAAACCTTTATCAAGTAATTAAGAAGCCAGTATTGTTATTTTGATTTCTAAGCTCTTTCTTTTATTAAATATGATTTCTCTATGCTACTATAGGAATTCGGCGAGATGATTCATTATGGTACATTTCGTGTTATCAGTATCTTGCATTTTAGAGCCACAGTCTGCTTGACTTGTCTATCAGAGACAAAACTACTGGACAGCAAGAAATGTCCAGAATGTAGAGTAACAGAGGTTTCTGAAGCATTGTATAGGCTAGAAGCTCTACACTGTTAGGAAGAATCATGTTACAGAGTAAATGTAGAAATCGATAAATATTTTAACTTTTTACCCCGCCATTTCCTTTAGCATCGAGAAAGTTCTAATAGTTAGATATTTATAACGTATTTAGTAAGTCCTTGGATTATTTTACAAATGTACAGATTTTTTTAGTGTGTCGGTGGCACAGCGGTATTATACTCGGTGACCACGGCTTTAGTCCTGGGTTCAATCCCCGGCCGACTCACTCCTTTACCTCGCTAAGCCAGAATTAATGCTGGTGAAAAGGGAAGTCTAGGCGGGAGGCTAGCAACCCTGTCGCCTGAAAATAAACACTACTGCTACCGAAATTCAAGCCTTTGGCTTAAAGCCCTATGTTTCACTGGGAACGCAAAGGAATAAAAAAGGCTGATTTTTTAAAGCAGGGTAATTTAATTAGCCCACGCTTACTACTAAATAGAGCAGCACTGGTGGTGAAATTCTTATTTCTTCTTTTCAAATCGCATTATTAAGTTCCACTATTGTTCATTTCTATTTCTGTCGTATTTATCTGAGTTATTTCCTGCGTAAACAGAACAAACGACAATGTAGACAACTTTCAGCTTAAGTGACGTTCGTAATTACAGTTACATATTTGATGTTTTGTTAACACATTATCAAGTGTGTTTTAAATATGTCTATAGCATGAGTTAACTGAAACATTTCTTTCTATGTCATAAGGTATCTATGAACACAAGTTACAATGATGGCTTACCATATACTCAGTAATACTTCAACGTTTAAACAAACTGTTTTCATGATAAGAAGTCCTTTATGATGTGCAACAAATTTCTGCATAACTAGAACACAAGCAGTCATCTATAAAGCTAGATATTGTCACGTGGAATCTTTTTGAGCGCTTATCAATCCGAGTCTTAAGATTATCATTTATGATTTCAATTTCCCTGAGCAAAAATACTACTCTGGTAGTGTATTGCCTTACTGTTTTTGTTTTCTTTAGTTCCTAGAGGAACTTAGGGCTTCGGCCGCACGTCCTCTGCCAACGTTTTCACCTGTCTCCACGTCTACCCACATGCTTTTATCTCCTTTTCACATGGACTCATCCATGTCACTCTTGGACGACCAACTCACCGCTTCCATTTTGGGCTCCACTCGAGTGATAGCCTGTCGTATAATATTACTTGATGGTCTGTTTTGTTCTCGGAGTGTGGCCAATTCACCTGCATTTCTTCCTGCTTATTTGTTGCACAATCGGTTCCTGGTTGGTTCGCTCCCAGATATCCCTGTCGCTGATATTTTCTGGCGGGTCATCTGATCATGAGTTGTGTTGAGCGAAGATAACCCCTGTAGTCTGTTTGGGGTGCTCTCCATGATGCGCCAAGTCTCTAATCCACAAAGGTGTACTGCGGTGTTTTACCATAATACTGCGTCCATAACTCTTGAATATTTTTGTACCTGTTGAAAACTGTAAGGCAGTAGAAGTAGGGATTCTCTTGCTTTACACTTTTGATGAAACAAAGTTCTGCCCAATATAGTAATCGTATTGTGCATAAAATTCAGTAATTTCATTATTGAGGATTTATACAGGTTTATTTATACGCCAGTATAAGAGTAGAGTTTGTGCACTGTGATCGATTATAACCCCATGTTAGAAAAGATTATTTTTGGTATAACACAATGGCACAGTATTGATTCCTGGATGACTATTCGAAAACAATTTATTCTTTATAATCATATCGGTGCGATATACTTGTTAACTGAAGTTTATATGACTTCATGTTTCATGTAAATGAAGCTTCTCTATATCTTTTAAACTACCTACTCAAACAGTGTGCTTCTATTCCACCTGGTCGTACTCTATGTTACATAAATTATTCTCCGATGTAGACGGTGTAAGTATGCTTATGGATAATAACACGTTATATGTTCCAAATAAAGTTTAAAAACCTATTGCGAACTGTTTCTTGACATATCACTGATGGCAATCATACTTTTAATTATTCTTTACAAATTCCGCAAATGTAATATATTACTTTCATAATGACACTGTTCCACTAAGACAATCTAACTATTTCAGAGTCTGTTAACTATCAGCTAGACTGTATTAAGATGGACAGCTTTCTATCAGGAGTTAGAAGATGGTCTTCGTCTAATGGTGGCCTTAAACTAAATCCTTCCAAATGTCAGACTGTTAATCTCAGTTTCCGATGTAAAAGAAAGTTAAATGAAGCTGTTGGTTGCTATGACCGTTGTAAAATTGATGATAATGATATAGAAATCAAGTTTGAAGTTAAGTATCTTGGATTAATTCTTTCTACTGAACTATCCTGGTCTTTCCGTGTCTTAGCAATTTCTAAAAGAATTTTTACATTAAGAAGTTAAGGCGCTCAAGCATAACTCAACTCCTCCTCCTCTTACAGTCTGCCAACTCGTGCATCTTACCTATCCTTCTTTACTGTTCACCCTTATTCTCTCCTGGATTGCTTAAAAAAGACTATGTTATACTTCGTAGAACTCTGAAGACTGACTGTCAGTAGGACGAGTGGCAGTATCCGATTGGGCCATATCGTTGACACTGTCATTGATAGGCACTTGATGTCATGTAACAAATTTGCTAAAAGAATTTTGTCAGACTCTGAGCATCCACTACAGCACCCGCAGCTCCAACCTTGTGTCTCTCCCCAGGTAAAACAAGAAGTCTTTTCAGAAGACTTTATGCACGTACGTCTAAGTATAAGAATTCCACTATACCATATTTGGTGCGTATTTTATGTGATAAAAATAGTGTCAGATATCAACTTATCCTTATTCTACCAAGCTATATTGTTATTGTTCTTCTTATATTTATAATCCTCTCGATTTTTGTTTTTATTTGTTTATTTTTCCATAAGTGTAAACATCATTTAAGCTGTGTGCATAACTGTTAATTTTGCCTTTCCCCTCACTATACTATATCAACAGAACATTAGATTCAATACTCTATAGTAACATGCTAAAATATCCAAAACGAATCTACATTTCTGTTTGAGACAAACTCACTGTTATTATTATTAATCTTATTATAATTATCCTTAATATTCCCAATTCATACTTCGAATATTTTTGACTTCATACCGTAAACATCGACAAATTCCTCTGGTTAATTTTGTTTTAATTTTTAATTTTATTTGTATTTTGAGTAAATCAGGTGCAATATTGTGACAAATGCTAAGAATTCCATTCTGTATTATAAGTACTGTTTTTGTAATAAAGTAGATTATTATTGTTATTATATTCATCACTATCAATTGCAAAAGTCAAACTGTTGTTTATTGAGCCAATAATTCGTAGACTCTACCTCTCATGTGACAAGTAGTGAGTCTTTTTTTATTAGAATCCATGCTTTTCATCACTGGGCTGTATTGTATCGAATTGTTCTGTTTCTCTCAGTAAGATTACATTCTTGATAAGAAGCTTCTTTTTGGATAAGACGTTGCTCGACTTACAAGTATTAGTTGCGTGTCAAAATTTATCAACAAAAAAAATTTGTTCTAATGTTACAAACTGCTTGAGGAAGAAAAACTTGATTTTTACAGAATTTTGTTTACTACATTCTATTCATACTTCATTTTTCTAAAGTTTCAAACAAAATTTATTGATGACAGAGTTCTATGCATTTTAATCACGAAGGCTTACTACGACATTGCGTATTTCGCTTTTAGTATCTTTACGCATGTCACTCCTATCTCTGTAGGTTATAATTTCTTTGTTATCATAAGTGGTACTAGTCGTTTTAAAATTGGGTTTTAGTGCCGGGTGTTTGTCATGTGATGGGGGTAGTTTTGTCGTTTTCAGGAGGATATGTATGTTCTATAGTTGGTTTGTGAGGATTAGTTCTTTTTTTTGCGAGTTGATCACGGGTTGCGTACTGCCGATGATTCTCGGGATAGGATGAAACAGCAGCTGTCCAGCAATCCCGGATTTTCAGGGGTTCTCTAGCGGATATATATATATGTATGCCATTTTTAAAATTATGCATAGGTTATTTATATTATTGTTCCCTTGGGTCCCTAGTGGGGCATGAAGTTTCAGCAGAACACCCAGGTTTTACCCTGTCCTCTGAATTCCTCTTAAACGGGCTCCACAATTACCAATAGGCTCTCATCTCGTCGTCAAACAATTCGTTGTTTGCCATACATACGGGTTCCAATCGACCTATGGCCTGGAGTGCGATATCACCCTACGGTTTAACCTATCTTCATTTTCTTCCACATGTTTGTTGAGTAATAAGTTCTTGATGGGTTTGTTCCCAGATAACATTTAGTAACCTACTCTTCTATCAAAATAGTTAGCTATATTATCAACTGACAGCCAGTTTTTACTACAAAAATACATTTGTAAGGTTTGAGCGTTTATTTTTTTAACAGCACTGTGGCGGATATCAGCTGAGACATATGGAAGAGCTTTCATCATTCAGCGTCGTTCAGTAGATTGTAAGATAGACTTTTCGACCTCGAGTATGCAGATGATATCGTTTTACTGTGCGATAGCATGCAGGCTACCCAAATCGCACTTAATCGGTTGGTGATCAGTGTCTGTAAGTATGGTATGTGCTTTGCGCCGTCTAAATGCAAAGTAGTGTTACAAGATTGGCAGGAGCCTGTACCTGCACTCACTCTTGCTTGCAGGTGAACCGCTTGAAGTTTTCGATAAGTTTGTGTATCTGGGTAGTTATGTGAGTGCTGGGGAGGGGTGACGGATGAGATTTCCAGCCGTATAATGAGGGCTAGGGTGGCATACATCAATTTGAGACACCTCTGGCGCCGTCATGACGTTAGCCTGGCTGTCAAAGGTCGGGTATACAATGCTTCGGTGAGGGCTGTCTTGCTCTACGCCTGTGAAACCTGGCCTCTCTGAGCTGAAGATGTGCGGCGACACTGCGTGTTCGATCATCTCTGTCTCCACAGGATTGCTTGCGTTCGATGGCATCATTGCGTGAGTATTTCTGAGGTCCGGCGGCGTGTGCTGAACTCAGTGGAGATCACTATTCATTGAGTGTTGTCATCTGGAAACACCGGCTCCGGTGGCTTGGATATGTGCCGCGAATGTCATCCCAGAGTCTTCCGTACAGGTCCCTGTTCGCTAGCCCTGGGACGGGATGGAAAAGGCGGGGAAGTGGTCAGTCCATGACGTGGCGTCGTGGGATGAAGGATGATTGTGCTAGATTAGCATTGGTTGGTGCGTCACGACTCCCTGTTTGGGGTCCGTGAGATAGCTCGAGTCAATGGTTTGAAACGTTATCGGATATGGCCAAGAATCGCAATCAATGGCGAACGTGTTGCAATTTCCTTCTTTCTTCCCTTCCCGATGATAGTTGAGGAATAATGTTTGAACTTGTTAAGCATGACTGTTTTCCTTCCAGAATGAAGTTCTTTATCCGTTCTCTACTTATATTTTTACTTTGAATCTATGTGGTTTAATTATTATTGTGTGGCGCATCTTTCTTGGTGCCATATTGTACCAAGTTTTTATGCGTTTAAATGAATAAATAAGATTGGAAAAGCATTACAAATTATAAAGAAGACATACTTCATACTTAGTTTAGTAACTAGTCTTATCCTTCTAAAGTTTTCAGTCACTAAGTGTCTGTTGATGACCATAGTGTTCTGCATCAGTGAGAGCCTACAAAAATCCTTTAACTATACGGAGAATAAAATTGGACAACCTTAATCTACGAAAATTGTTGTGATTACGCCTCCATAAAATTGTTTTCTTAAACCTGTCTTGTTCGCAAAACTTTGTAGGTATTTAATAGTAATAATCTAGTGATATTCCCTAATCGGGCTCGCTCGGATGCGTAGCTTTTTGCTAATGGGGAGGTCTTCGGATCATCCCTCTATTGTGTGCGTCGGTGGCACAGTGGCTAGGACTCTCGCCAACCATGCACATGGTCTGAGTTTCGATCCCTTGCGACGCACACCTGATATATATGGTCAGCCTGCAAAATTTGAGCTATCGATATCCATGCTGAAAATTCCATACTTGTATAAAAAAAAAAATACAGTGTGGAATCAAGCGGTAATCAAAAATAAAAAAAATAGAAATCAAATGAAATTTCATATATTCATTAAACGAAAAAAGTTGGCTATTTTCATTCAGCATTGGGTAGTGAATAAGTAGTGTCATGCGTCTAGCCGTTTGTTTGACCACCATACCACTAGAAATGGCTTACCATCAAGGTGAACTTTGAATTAATGTTACTATTAGATGGTTGAAGGCAGTCAACAAAAAGCCTTGCTGGCAGTCACCAGTCAGTAAGGTATATCTGCAACTTTGTCTGGACTCATTTCCTCTGTGAAGATCGGCAATATTACAAGTGAGTAATGCGGCTGACAGGTGTTTATTTTGTCGTGTATTTATTCTGAGTATGCATATATATTTATGTTCTTTTAATTTTCAGAGTCACTGGAGGTGAACTATTTGATCGTATTGTTCAGAAAGGTAGTTACACTGAACGTGATGCAAGTGCCCTTATTCGACAAGTCTTATTTGCTACTGAATATATGCATAGTCAAGGAGTTGTACATCGAGATTTAAAGGTAAGTACATGCTGTATACAAGTATTACTTTATTCTTATCTGAAGAGACTTCTAAAGATTGTGTTGCATGTTCTCTTGTGTTATTATTTGGAAATCATTATCAAAGTCTTTATGCAAAGTGTATGGCAATTAACATTTCAATGCATAAGTTTATCACAAGATAGTCTGTAATCTAGTATTAGTTTGTCTCATTTCAGCACCATTTTGACACTACTATTATTTTGCAATTAATAGTGTTCTTTGAGCTGGTTGGTTTAGTTGCGGAGCTTTCGTCGTCATTCTCGACGACATCTTCAGCGCAGTATTTAGCATAAAGTTAAATGATTTAAAAATCTCCATGAATGATGATACACTTGCGTCTCCTGGTGACCACATATGTATTGACCGTCTTCTATTGATTGGGATTTTAAACTTTCTGGTCACCTGATTTGCTTTTTATTAGTTGATATATTTCATCTATATTAACGTGCTTATTAATGGCATTTTCGTTTGAGTACCAGGCTTCTAGGAATTCCCTGGCAATTCTGGTGTTTCCTCTGTTTAAGATTTTGATATTATCCCAATCAAATTGATGTCCATAATCATCTGTATGCATTGACACTAAAGAATTTATATCATGTCTTTTCACGGCTGATTTGTGTTCCTGGATTCTCATTCGAAGGGGACGCCCACTTTGGCCGATGTAATGTTTGTTACAGTTCATACAGTTTATTTTGTAAATGGTATTAATTTTATCTCCTTTTTCTATCGGATCTTTTGGTTTGCATAAGATCGAATTAAGCGATTCGACTGGTTTGTGTGCTACATCTATATCAAACGGTTTCATTATTTTAGCCGTTATTTCAGAGATATTTCTGATGTATGGTAGGATGAATTGCTTTTTGGTCTCTGGTGATGGTTTTTTGTTGGTGCTTTGATTCGACTTTAAACACTTTTTGATAAAATTTTTTGGATAACCATTCTTCTTGAAGACCGTTTGTAAGTATTTTTCTTCCATTCTTTTCAACTCTGGTGTGCTACAATGTGTTTGAATTCTTCTAAACAATGTCTGCACACAGTTTCTTTTGTGAGTAATTGCTGTAATTATTGCTAGTATAGTTGAGTATTTGATCTGTGTGCGTTGATTTTCTATATACTTGTGTTTCTAAATTTCCTGTGTTGGTTATCCTGATTAAGACATCTAAAAATGGGATTTTGTTATCTAACTCTTCTTCTATCGTGGTGAATTTGATGTCTTCAAATATGTTGTTTATTAATTTATGGGTATATTCTAAATCATTTCTTTTAATTATTACAAATGTATCATCAAAATAACGTACCCAGATTTTCGGTTTAATTATAGGTAGAGCTATTAATTCTAATCTTTGCATGACAGCTTCAGCTATTAATCCTGATATGGGCGATCCCAAATCATCCACTTGAGTTATAAATCTTTTCTATTACTACTATTATTTTTTCAACTTTAATCACGGTATGATATCAATGAGAGAACCATTGAAAACCGGAATTTAAATACTGGACAGCTGTTTCATCCTGGTTTTTGGGAATCATCAACAGTACGCACCCACTAGGAGGGGGTCAAACCCAGAACTTTCTGGTTACAAGGCTAGCGAGCTCGTATATCATTCAGCCACTGACACTCTGTTCAATGGCCAACTCATGAATTCTAACTTCTACCAATTTGTGATATGATTTTGGCGTGACTGCTACCAACCAATGCCATCGGTGGGAAATCCATCTTCACACGTGACATCTGTATGGTCCTCACTGGTCACGATTGGTTATTGCTATTATTATTAAAAAATTGATTAATGAACAGAGACTATTCTTTTCGATAAACTATTTTTCATCAGCTTCTACAGTTAGTTATATAACCATAATAATTAAAGGATTATTATTATTATTAACGACATTAGTGCTGTTTTAAATTACATTGAATCAATAACATTGACCGATTATAATTCAAAAGCACTAATATAACAAATACTAAGCTGAGTGAATATCAGAAAAATTAGGGGAAGTAAGACAGAATTTATAAATTTATAGGCTCGACAACAGGCCGAGGTAATAGCAATGGCTGGCTGGCTGGACGTGTTTCATTTTTTACACACAGAGCGAATTTCAGTGGCCACTGCTGTTTTGAATGGTTCGGTATCTAGAGACGTTCGTTAATCTGTTTGATATAATATAGATGATTGAGAAAGACTCTTCAATACTGCTGGCTTTGTGGCTTTTTTGTACAAGGGGGGGGGGTCCAATGTAGAACTGTTAATGGTTTTAACTTGAACCTTGTTCAGCCACTCTGGTAGGTGTGATGTTCTCAAGGAGGAAAGGTTAAGCTCCTAGTGTGGAACGGCCAGTGTAACTGGCTCCACATGAGCAAGCGAATTGATACATACAGTAATATGAAATTCAATGTGTACTGTAAGCCATAAACCAACATATAACTGTTAGAAATCATTTATTTAACCTACTAACAGTATTTGACATCACATTACTGGAATTTCAACAAGTTCTGATGGTTGTTTCATGGAGTATTTACTGTGTCGTAGTTCGATCAGTGGACACACACACGCACACACACGCGTATGATAAAACTGAAGGGAGAGTTAAAGTTTATGAAATAGAAGAAGAAATCGATTTTCAAGGAGCATAAAACAGATTATAATACTACTGTCAAATAATGTCAAGTAGCGAAGATAATAGTGACAACAACGACAACAACAGACTGAAGTGGAATAAAATCAATTACCTGTTAAAAGCATAATTAAGGTCAAGGTAAAGGAGGAAGACACTCAGCATGAAAAACAAGATCCGGATTTTCAACTCCAATGTGAAGTCAGTGATACTTACTCTACGGATCAGAGACCTGGTGCGTCATAAAGAGGACCTCAAAATAAACAACAGACCTTCATAAAAAGCTATCTTTGCTCAACACAACTCAAGATCAGATGGCGGGCCAGAAAAGGTCAGCAACAGGGATATCTGGGAGCGAACCAACCCAGCAGGAACCGATTGTGCAACAAATAAGCAGGAAGAAATGGAGGTGGATTGGCCATACTCTGAGAAAACAAACCATCAAGTGACATCACTAAACAAGCCATCGCTCGAGTGAAACCCGAAATGGAAGTGGCGAGTTGGTCGTCAGTGAGAGGGTGATATGGAGTGGGGGAGGTCATGTGAAGAGGAGATGAAAGCATGTTGGTAGACGTGGAGCCAGATAAAAACGTTGGTAGAGAACTGAACTCAATGGAGACGTGCAGTTGAAGCCCCATGTTCCTCTAGGAATTAAAGGAAATATTAATAATAATACCACTAATAATAATAGTAATAAAGGAGGAAGTGTCCCAAAATGTTTTCATACATATTTTGTGTATTTAATGGTTTAACTAAAACTTCTTATATGATCGAAGTGGTTCATTTTAAAATGCATAGATAGTTTTAAAGGACAAATTACCTGGAACCCCGGTTGGTCTGAATTCGGTTAAGACTTTGAAAATCGATAAATTTTTCTTGCTAAGTCCACCCTAAGTTGACTGAATTGAATGGTGTTCAGCAATGTAGAAATACATTTTCATCATCATCAGAGAATTTGATTGCAACATTCAGTGTGTTCAGCTTCACTGGAACAGATGAAGTGATAGACACACTCAAATGTACACGAACACACACACACACACACACGCAAACAGAAGCTACATTTAGTGGCAAGGTATCCTTCACCCAGTTTTAAATGGAGTCTCAAATCTTCTGTCACCATGAAATTAAAAAAAATCCGCAAATATTGACAGAAGTTAGAATTCGTAGGTCACTGGATTCCACCACAATAGCTGGATGGTCGACGAGTTCGCCTCGTAACCTAAGGGCACTAGGTTCGATCCCTCGATAGAAGAGGGTCATGGGTGCATAGTGCTAAAGAGTCCCAAACAAGGACGAAAAAGCTGTGCAGCACTCCCTGACTTTCAATAGTTCTCTGAATGACATCATTTCGTGGGAAAAACTGAAAATAACTATAATTACTACTATTATTATTATTCTCTAAGTTCCAAGTGGAACATCGGGATTCAAGAGTACTTCTCCATTTTGTCCTTTTCTTTCCAATCCTCTTCATCTGGTCTCACGACTGCCTATAAGCTTCCATGTCCTCCTGACATTATCTACCCCATGTCGTCCTCGGATCCACACCAAACTCGTCATTTCCTACTGAGTTCCACTCTAGGGTATGGCATGCAATGTCACCTCGCGGTCTCCTAAGCGTGTGTTCTATCCGTCTCCATTTTCTTCAGAATATTTGTTGAGCAGTCGGCTTTTGGTTGGTTTGTTTCCAGGCAGAGTTTCTTGTTGCTAATTCTTTCTGGCCAGATATCTGATCTTGAGTACGGAGCCGGCGAAGACAGCTGTTGATAAAAGTCTGCGGTATCCTGTTGGAAATGCTTTTTCTGACGCTCAGTACAAGTTTCTGACCTATACAGAAGGACTGACAAACTTAACATTGGTGTCTAAAATAGGAATTTTGTTCTTTATGCTGAGTACAGCAGATTCCCGAACTGATTGTCAGAGTCATGAAGGTCTGTCTTGCCTTTCTGATTCTGGTTGAAATTCACATCTTTATCCGTGTCGTCCGGCTGTAGTTGAGACGTTGCTTCCGTCAAATTTATCCCATTGATAATGATTAGTGGTGGTGCTTGTTGTGGTCGGTTCGTTGTCTTCATCACTAGCGGCAAAATAGTTACATATAGAATAAAGGAGACTCAATGGCTTTGTGGGTTAACAAAGAATGAATGCATCTCTGTCATTCGGAAGGTTTTGGAGAGTGCAGTTAGCGCGCTAAACATCCTTTTTTTTTTACTTATAACCTAGTTTAATTAGTACGCATTCATAATTCCCAAATTTCATATAAGTATAAAACTTGGGCACTGTGGAAAAGTATAACTCCATTGTAGATAAGATTTTATTTTGATAAATCACACAGTGTTACACAGTAATTATTAACTGATGAC